CTCCGCCCTTAAAGAAAAGCAAGAGCCCATGGGAAAGGCAACAAGAAAGGGCCGCTGGTAAGACCCAGAAGCCTTGGCAGGAGGTTACAGGCTCAAACCTCCGTCCCCAACCCGAACGGGGCATCCCCCGAAAACCGCCCGAGTCTCTGCCGCAACTGAACCCCGCCCCGACCCCGAAACCCGCAGACGGTCCGGAGCCGGGAACATGGAGAGAAAGGGGCGAGCAGCACCTAACCAAACGGGGCGGCCACGGGCATTCGAGTGGGAAACCAACCTAGCATGTTGCAGCAACCTAACCTAGCTTGCAACACGGATGCCGCCTGTACTCTGAACAGTATAACATCAGGAGAGTACTGGAGAACAAGCAGAGAATCACTCGCAAGACTCCGGGTCAAGGTGTCAGTGACCCAACAGGCAGCATGACGGAGGTCAAAATGGCGACTGTCACCCGGAGACAAGGGAACAGCAACCAACGATCCCGTTCAAGACGGGTTGGAACCCGGAAGACACATTCAATGGTCCCCCGAGCCCAGACAGGGGTTTCCAGGGCCCGTAGGGTAACAACTACGGGAAGCCCGGGCAAGGTGTTGCTAACCGGTTAAGAAACCCAAACATAACAAGAGGGTAGATTATAGCACTGAAAACCCCTGAGACGTGTACAAGCACGGGGGCCTAGCAGAGGGCCGCCAAACACTACCAGTGGAACTAAAACCACCTTAGGCAGACCCCCACCAGGCAAGAAAATGAAAAACAAAAGAAAAACCCCGCAAAAGTACACCGTCTCCAGAGGCAACAGAAACCGGCCGCCGCTTAGGTGGCAGGCTGCGCAACACCTTGACGCCCTAACCAGCACAATACCAATCCCTACCCAGGGCCAAACAAGGGCCCCAAGCCCCAGCTGGCCCCAAGGGCGAGGCAAATGCCGAGCAGCAAGAACCTCTACGGGAATGGTTCCCGAACGCCCCAGGGAAGATAACCCTGTAACGCAAGGGCAGTACTCACAGGGCGCGTAGGGAAGTCAGCCACTAAGCACATGCAGCCCCGGCACTGATGAAGTACTCCTGGCCACCGCACACCACAACACACGGCAGTGAACGCCACACAAGGCAAACACCGCCTAGGAAACTGAGGCCAGAGAAGCGTCAATCCCGGTTGACATTAGCGAACGAACTGGAGCTTGGCAGCCGGCGCGGTAGGTCCGGGGCTCCCCCCTCCCCCTCCCGGGGTGGGGAGGGCTGCGCGGACGATCGGCGCGGCAGTAAAGTGTGATGTTTGCTTGTTTGCTTGTTTCCTTGGGATTGTAGGGAGTTTTCTACCTCTCTGTTCGGTTTTTGTTGTAGTTTCTTACCATGTGGGGTTTGTTTTGTTACGCCTACCTTTCTGGGTGCCTAACCCCGGTCGATGGCAGATAAGGAAAACCCCCAACCATATGGGGTTTTCCAGGGCCATTGCTCCCTGAAACCTCTCTGAAGGGGCCAGGTTCTGGCGCTGGTCCCTGGTAGGTCTGAACTCCTTAGCTAATGTCCCGGTCTAACATAACACACATTAGCCCGATAAGCTCCAGGGAGCCTCCGGGGCTCCCCACAGAAAAACAACATTGAATGTAATGAAACGCCATTTTCTGGATGAGACCCGGAGGCTCTCCAGAGCTATACCGGGCTGATGTGTATATATGACCAAGGAGTCAACATGACTACTCTCCCCTGGTAAGTCTCCAACTGAGCCAGAATCCGAGAACGGAATTAAATTTACAGAGTGTGTATGATAAGAGTCAGTGACATTAACACTAGAGTATCTATTCGTTTCATGCAAAGAAAAGGAGGGGATAAGCTATTTCAGAGCGTTCAGACCTGCTTGAGTGATGTACACACTTCCAGGAAACTGAGGGAGACACGCTACACGAGGGGATTAGCTCATGACCTCAGGGAATACGATGTACTTGACTGTTGTAAACCCTCTCCCCAGTGTAATAGGTCTGCTCTCTGGAAAGTACAGAAAATAGACGTCGAAACTGTACCCCTCAAGGTGAAAAAGATTCATCAGGACATCACCAGGACAGATACGGTGTTTGTATGGAAGCATGATATCTCGGTTTCCAAGAGCCAGTACTTTACATGTATATTGTGACGGGTCGGTGGTGGAGGATGGCAGGGCCAGTTCTTGACCCGGCACCTCAACTTAAAATATGCAACTTCTCCAGACCACTACAGCTAAACCACAAGAGCTAGAGACTTTTTATTTGGATTTTTGTGCTTCCTGAAGGCTAATTAACTATGTCATAAGAAAAAATAATTTTTTCAGAACAATTTTTTTCTTGAGCACCCTGGGGATGTTGGCTATTTGTTAGCGGTTTAAGGGTTAAACTGCGCATGACGTATATATACGCCCTGAGTAACATGTCTCACTGTGCGCATGGCATATTCATATGCCATTGGGTGCCGGGCATGATTCAAAAGGCCTGCGACTACACGGGGTTCACATCAGCTTCCTCAGGGCTCTTGTAAACAGATGACATGTTTAAAAAAAATCGTGGACAATATTCTCCGGTGTGAGAGCCACAGTACTGTGGGAGCAACAAAGGCTGGACCACTGTCACCGACTTATATGCCACTCAAGCATACAAGAACGACAGAACGTATGCTAGCCAGGATGACTCTGGAACCTTATAATGAATCCAGTAGGGAAATAAAGACCCAAACCTGAAAGAAGACGGATCCATGATAGTGGCGTCATCAGGGTTGCACAGGAGGTAAGCCGCAAAGGTGTCCCGCACCACATGAGGCAGTATGCGGGAAGCCAAAACTCTCCGGAAAGACAGCCTGAAGCACCTGAAGGGACACGGAACCGAACCCAGAGACGGGCAGACACAAAATCTAACTCGTATGAAGAGGGAGGGGAAAAAAACACACTCCTTACAACAGTAAGCACCGCTCAGAGGGTAGAAAACCCCTGGTGGGGTCCAACGGGGCCCAAGGCCCCCAAGTCAGTTCCTAGACAGCCCTGGGAACCACTACATCAGGACCCGGAGCCGAGTCATCTCCCAAAGCCCGGCCTCAAAAGAAAAGGCCGGCGCAGCCTTAAAAGCCTTTAGAAGGAAGGGGGCCCACTGGTCAGACCTAAACGCTTCAGCAGGGAGAACCGACTCAAATGCCTCCATCACCACCCTGGAAGTGGCATCCCCTAAGACTGCCCGAGTCTCAAAACCATCTAAACCCTGCCCCGACTCCGAAACCTTCAGACGTTTCGGAGCCAGATGCAGGGAAGGGGGGAGGACCAGATCAAACCACAGCAGGAGAAGGACGAGGAGGTGCGGACTGAACCAAGGCTGAGGATACCAACACCCACAAGTCCGGGTCCTTATAAGCAAAACGGGGCAGCCTCGGGGCTTCTGGGCTAGCAATCAACCGAGCGCGTTGCAACAACTTAAACCTAAACTGCAACGCCTGTGCTGCCTATACCCGAATAGCGTCATGAGTAGATTGGGTAAACTGAGTCACAAGCAAGCAACAAAACTCGCAGGACTCTGGGTCAAAGGTGTCACCGACCCAGCAGGCAGCATGACGGAGGCAAAAACAGTGAGAGTCACCCCAAGACAAGGGGACAGAGCAACCCTCAACCTCGCACAAAGCAAGGGGGGACTCAGGGGTCACATCCATCGGACCCACCCGCCCCCGTGGGAATTCCCAGGGTCTTGAGATGGAACTCACGCTCAGGGAAGACCAGGCAGGGTACTGCTAACTAGCGCCCAAATCTACCAACAACTTTCTAAAAGATGAACCCCGGGATGAGTACACTCACGGGGGCCTAATATGGGATATCACCAGAAACTAAATTACAGTAATCTTATAAGATATAGGGGGCAACCAAGCCAAGGCAGACCACCCCCCACCCCACCAGACAAGATAAACAAAAACAAAAATAAAACCCAACAAGAGGACAATGTACCCAGGCGGAACAGAACTGGCCGCTATGAGAGGTGACAACCAGCTGCTCAGTACCCTGTGCCCCTACCAGTACAAACTACCTCTTACCCTAAGGCAAACAAGGGTGCCAAAAACATCCCAGCACACAAAGGGCAGCTGAAAGTCGAGCAGCAAATGACCAAGCAGAGGTAGAACCCAAGGAACCTGAGGAAGGTGGCCCAAGCCCCAAAGGCAGTACTTACAGGGCACCTAGGGAAGGTAGCACTAGGCGCATGCAGCCCGAGTACTGAAGAATTACTCCTGGCTCGCACACCCTCAATAAGACAGCCACCACACCACACAGGCACAGAGCTGGAGACAAATCAGGAGCCAGAGCACACGACTTCAGCCTATAACATCAGCCTCAGAACTGGGGTTTTGGGTAGCCGACACGAGGGGTCTGGGGCTCACCGTTCCCCCTCCTGCAGAGGGGGGAATTGTGCAGATGGCGGCGCGGCCACGTGGTGACGTTATGCTCGTTTTTGTTTGGGGAGTTCTGTCCACTAGTTTGGCTTTCAGTATCAATTTCTTAATCAGAATAGGGGTTTGTTTTGGGATGCTTACCTTTCTGGGTTCTTGACCCGGTCGATGGCAGACACAGAATGCTTCCAACCACACGGGAGTTTCTATAGGCCTTTGCTCCTCATGCCTCTCTGAGGAGGCCAGGTTCTGGCTCATGGTCCCCAGTAGGCCTAAGAACTCCTTTCACACTGACTGATGCCAAAGTCTAACATATCCATATTAGCCTGGATAATCTCTAGGGAGCCGTACGGGCTTCCCCCAGAAATTGCATATAGACAGAGAGGTGGCAAGACCACAGCCATCGTTAATAGGTTAATGCATGAAAAAAAGGAAGGGAAGAAAGAGTTGAAGCCCTTGAATTTTGGCAGCTTCAAACCATGAAGTTAATCTGCCATCAAGTTCCAAATAATAGTAGTATTGGTAATACAAAAATCGTATTGCTAGTCCAAAAGTAGTATTAGTAAAACAGTACTTTTATCAAGAAATAAATATAAAATCATGTAATTTTTTCCTTACCTGTATGCTCAAAAAGTTTGCTCAGGGTGTCCAAAACAATTTCCCATGACGAAAGATGAAGCTCCATATACATCTTGGACACAAGTTTTTGAATGCTTAGAGCTACTTCATATACCACCAACACATGACCATTATTGGCAGCCTACAAAAAAAAGACATGTAAAATAAAACATGAGAGAGGGGTATTAACATGCTTATGAAGAATATATTATGTGTACAATCTGTAAAATATAAGCTTTGATTCTAAAATATTGGTAATAAACATATGAATAAAGGATACTGAAAAAACCAGAGTTGAATGTAATGAAATGCCATTTTCTGGGCGAGACCCAGAGGCTCCCCGGAGCTTACTAGGCTGATATGCTAATGTCAGACTTTGGCATCAGTCATATGTATGGAGTTCTGTGGACCAGAGGGAGGGAGGGATGCTGGGAAGCCTCCGGGTCTGGGTATTGCGTTTCATTACATTCAACTGGTTTAATGTAATTTACATTACTAGTTTTCTGGGGGGAGCCCCTTCAGCTCCCCAGAGCCAACTACCCACAGAGGAAATAATAGAAACTCAGAGAAGCACAGAAAGCAATGGCTTTGGAAAACTGTCTCCACCAAGAGAGAGCAGTCTTTGCAAACAGTAACAGATAAAAAGGTGCTGAAAACCTAAGAGCCAGGACCCAAGCAGATTCCAAAGTGAGAGCAAGCATAGACTGCCTGTATGCGAGGCGAGAAGCAAATAACAGAGACATCGCTCCCTCGAGAATCAGTGCAAACAACCTCAACAGTGTAGCCAATGCCCTAGGCGCCAAGGCCAGCGCAGCAGACGAAGGCCAGGCACCCAACGCCCCCACATCCTCCTCAAGCCAGTCCGGGGACAGCTAGAGAAGAGAAAAGAACAAGACCAAAGCCTAATGCCCCCAGGCGCACAAGTCCTCAGCTATCAAAAAAGCCGAAGGGTTGGAACCTGCATGTGCTGCTGCACAAGACCAACATCCTGAGGAAGCACAAGGGCAAACATCTGCACATTAAGGTGCTTAAGATGCCCCTTCTCCCCCCAGGTAAACCTGCAGAATGATAGAACTGTCTCACCATTCAAGCGTGTGGGTCCAACAGAACCCATACCACACCCCCAACGAAAAGAAAGGGCAGTCTACCAGCCAGGAAGACTCCGGAACCTCCAAACGCACCCTATAATGCAGAAAAACCAAACTCAAACGAAGACGAATTCATGACAGACAGAATCCGAGTCTCGCAGGAGGTATACAGTAAGCACCTCCCAAACCTCCTTAGGAGAGATCTGAGAAGCAGAAAACCTCTGTAAGGAAGGAGCCGAGAAACCCAAGGGCACACAGAACTGAACCCTGGGAGGAGTTGACCCCAAATCATACTCATACAAGGAAGGAGGGGGAGGGGAAGGGGGTAAGAAAAGCCCTCCCCCCTGCAACAACAAGCATCACAAAGAGGGCACTAACACCCAAGTGGGGTCAAAGGGGGCCCAAGCCCCCCAGGTAAACTCCTTCCCAGCCCCAAGATCCCCCAAGTCGAGACATGGGGCAGAGCAGTCCTCCATACCCTCTACCCCTAAAGAAAAGGCAGAGTCCAGGGAAAAGGCAGAAAAGAAGGGGGCCAGCTGGTGGGACCCAGAAGCCTCGGCAGGAGGAACCGGCTTGAATGCCTCCATCCCCAACATGAACGGGGCAGACCCCGACACCACCCGAGTCTCATTACCAACTAAACACCGCTCCAACTCCGAAACCCACAGAGGTCTGGGGGCCCGAAACAGGGAAGGAAGTGTGAGCAGGATGAACAGGGAAAGGACTCAGGAGCGCAGACTAAACCAAAGTTGAAGCAACTAACTTCCCCAAGACCAGGTCTCTATAACCAAAACGGGTCAGCCTCAGGGCATCCGGGTGGGCAACCAACTTAGCGTGTTGCAGGAACCTAAACATAGCATGCAACACGGATGCTGCCCATACCCTAATATCTGTTATCAAAATGGGTAAACTGGAAAACAAGTAAAGAGCACGATTTGCAAGACTGCGTCAAAGGTGTCAGTAACCCAACAGGCAGCATGACGGAGGCCAAAGCGGGTGACTGTAATCCTGAGACAAGAGCACACAGCAACCTTAAAACTCGCACTTGCTGGAACTCGTAAGATGCATCCGTCCACCGAGCTCCGATAGGGTTTGCCATGGCCCATAGGCTGACTGTTACGGGAAGCCCTGGCAAGGTGTTGCCAACTGGTTAGACCCAAAGTTAACAAGGGAAGAAGTTCAGAACACTGAAACCCCTGCGACGTGTACAATAATGGGGGCCTAGCAGAGGCCACCAAAATATTATAAGTGGTCCTAAAGCCACACCAGGTAGACCCCCACCAAGCAAACAAAACAAAAAGTAAAAGAAAAACCCCGCAAAAGTACAACATCCCCAGAGGAAACAGAAACCGGTTGCTGCATAGGTAAGCTGGCTGCGCAACACCTTGACGCCCCAACCAGCATCCAAACCGCTCCCAACCCAAGGCCAAACAAGAGCCACAAAATCCCAGCTGGCCCCAAGGGCGGGGTAGATGCTGAGCAACAAAAACCCCTACGGAAATGGTGTCCGGAACACACCAGGGAAGATAACCCTGACACCCAAGGGAAGTACTCACAGGGCATTTAGGGAAGGATGCCCTAAGCGCATGCAGCCCCAGTACACTGCAGGTACATCTAGCCACCACACCATGAACAGCAGAGGACACCACAAAGGTAAAAACACTGCCAGGAAACCGAGGCCAGAGTTGACGACCGCCCAACGAACTGAAGTTGGGTAGCCAACACAGTGGGTCCAGAGTTCCCTCCTCCCCCTCCCTGGGGGAAGGGGGGGGGGATGCGCAGTAGAGCGGCGCGGCGGCATGCTGTGACATTTGCTTGTTTCCTTGGGAATTGAGGGAGTTCTGCCTCTCTATTCGGTTTCAGGTTGCAATTTTCTTACCATGTGAGGTCTATTTTGTTATGCCTACCATTCTGGATGCCTAACCCCAGTCGATGGCAGATAAGGAAAACCTCAACCACAAGGGGGGTTTTCCAGAACCATTGCTTCCTGTGCCTCTCTGAGGGAGGTCCAGGTTCTGTCTCGTGGTCCCCGGTAAGCTGAACTCCTTTGACCTGGTGTAATGAATTGCATTACACCCTATCAGGCTCCCTGGAGCCTGATAGCTCCAGGGAGCCTCAGAGGCTCCCCACAGAAAACACAAAAACAATGAAATTCTTCACAAAGAATTCAAGTGTGGTCATCAGTAGGTGGGAGACACTGGTAAACTGAAGTGCGCCACGTGCTCGGTCGGCCCATACGTGTATCAACAAACTCTAGCACCAAGGCAAACGACTCAAATATGGACTCGAATACCGCGTCAAATTTTTTAAAGAAAATGAGCTCAAGAACCGAAAAATTTGAAAATGGGGGCATTCGAAAACTGAGGTTCCAATGTACTGGGAATATAGGACACCACGAGCATAGCTTTCATCCTGTAACTACACTCAGGTAATTACACACATATACAGTAATCAGGAGCAATATATCAGACTGGAGGAGCATTACTAGCAGATTACCAGAGGGTTCAGTTCTTGTACCAGTAACGTTCATCATCTATATAAACGATCTACCAGTAGGAGTACAGAATTATATGACCATGTTTGCTGATGATGCCAATCTACTAGGGAAGATAAGAAACTTTGATGAATGTTAGACCCTTCAAGATGACCTAGACAAAACAAGTATATGGAGCAACACTTGGTAAATGGGATGCAGTGTGAATGTCATGTTATGGAATGTGGAATGGGAGAAAATAGGCCACAAATAACCTACAAATTATGCAGAGATGCATTAAGGAACTCGAACAACACAAGAGATCTAGGGGTGGTTTTGGATCATAGACTGCCACCAGAGGAACACACAGAGGACATTGTGTGGGTAGCATATGCTACCCTTTTCAACTTCAGATTCACAATTGCTTATTTTGATAAGCTTATACTTTTCCAGATTTGTTTCATCTCTACTACCACTTGGTAAAGAGTCAGATTCTGGTCCTGTCTCCCAGTAGGCTTGGATGGGATCTCAGAGGTATGGTGCATCTCTGAGGAGCAAGGCTGGACCATCAATTAACTCAGTATGCTACTGAGGGCCCCACCAGAAAAGGTCATTTCATTACATTTATTGCATGATTTATGTAGCAAAAGACCATGTGGTAGAGAATGGGGGTCATGTAAGCTATCCCACTTGTGATGTGCAGTTCTGTACAGTAGTTAAATCGTTCTGCTTTAATACCGATGTCCAGATTTCTGCCCATGTGTTAAAAATTTTAGTACCATTTAGGGTTTCGGTAAAATTTTTCCAACTGAAAAATCTTACCAGATATTTAACATTTCCATCGTACTAAGTTCTGGAATTTAAGGTTACAATTTATTTTAAACTAACCTCTCGAAACGTTGGAAGTACTGCTGCTGGCTTGTAGTCAAGGGAAGAGACCTTATTGGCTCCCCACAATGCTGTTGTCAGAAAAAAGATAGCTCCACGCACCATGAGAGCATCACTATTATTCCGAATCAAATGGCACAACACACACAGACCACTGTTGCCAAGATGTGTCCCGAGAAGGTTGCGCATGATCTGAAAATTAAAAATTTACTATGTAAACTTGTAGGTAGGGTGATTAATATAAGCCTTATGCTGAAGAACACGCAACAATAACCATCACTCCAGGAACTAACTAAAATGTCATTCAATGAGCCTCATTGTCAATTCAGAATCACTACATTCATCCTTTTATCTACTTAAAGTGCATCTTTGCATGTTTGACAAAATTCCATTAGAGAATCCTTAAATAACAAGGTATCAGTATTCTTGCACATTCATTAGCTTCTGAAAATACACATTCTTTTACTGTGTAATCAAGAGTGTGATCACCTCGCCATGAATTTTTGTTTACATTCAACATCATTATTTTTCATAATTATAATAAGGTTCTGGAGCATATAGTATGGAAGATATTTTAACTATACTTTTCCTATGTTACTCTCCCAGTTCTTCCAAGATGATGCTTCCCCACCCTATGGAAGTTGGAAACTGGAAGGAGTGGAGTGAAACTGGAATGATGATGATGATGATGATGATTAGTCAGTTTTCAGTGTTATTTGGTTATTGACGAAATACAGCAAACCCTAGATTTGTACAAATTTACACCTACAAAGTTAAATTTTTTAACATCAAAATATTAAAAATACATGAGGGAAATTCACTGTACACATGCTAGCATGAAATTATTTACACAATTTGTCGAATTATACAGTACAAATGTGTTTTAGGCCTTTCTGGACTATATTCTCATATCATGGCACCTTCCAAATGTCCAAAAAAAAAAATGCTGGCTGTAACCCCATGATGCTGCATTGATTAAATTGAAGGTAATGTTTACTTTCATCTACATCATTGGTTAGTGTACAAATCTGAGAAATGGCTTTATACAGAATATTTGTGACTAGGAAGTGGCAGGAGTAATATTTATCATAATTATTCCACTTCCCACTATTAAATGGTGGGAAGAAACAAGCCTGGAGAAAAAACCAGCGTTGAATGTAATGAAACGCCATTTTCTGGGTGAGACCTGGAGGCTCCCCAGAGCTATCTAGGCTGATACGGAGAATAGCCTTGGGCATCAGTCAATGTACATGGAGTTCTAGGCCTACCGGGGACCAACGAGTCAGAACCTGGCTACCTCAGAGAGGTGCGAGGAGCAATGGCCTATAGAGACACCTTATATATAATTTAGATGTACTGTACTCTATGTCTGCTATGGGCACCCAGAAAGATAAGTGCCCCCCATTCTGGTTAAGAATTGCTATTAAAGCCGAACAAAAGGATAGAACTCTCCATGAGGAAAAAACGAGCAAACGAGCATGACGTCATCTTGTTACCAACGCGCCGCCGTCTGCACAACTCCCCCCTCCCCGTGAGGGGGGAAGGGGAGCAACAGACCTTCCACCGGCTACCCAAGCCTGCCAGTTCTTAGGCTGGATGTCAAAAACAAGCGAAAAGAATCTGCCGACCGGAGAGAGGAAGGGATGCCGGGGAGCCTCCGGGTCTCACCCAGAAAATGGCGTTTCATTACATTCAACGCTGGTTTTCTGGGGAAATCCCCTTCGGCTCCCCGGAGCTTCATACCCAAATTGAAAAACAAACAGGGACTTACCCAGGTGGCGGCTGTTCCTCACAACTCAACACAAAGTTGAGACAACTGGCTGCAACCGCCGACCCACTGCAACACAGGCCCGACCAGGCCCAAGGACATTGACCAGGTAGCGAGCAGCCAGTACCATGTTCAATCTCCAACAGGATCTTTGGTTTGTTGGTGCTTGTTTGGTCGGGACGGGGCTGCATCGTGTTTTGTGTCCGGTTGCGGCCCTCCGCTGTTATTTGCGCGCCATGGCTTCTGTGTCAGGGTCACGCTTTGGGTTGATCCGGTTCCCTTCTTCCCTGTTCGCGGGCGAGGGTCTCCCAGGTCGTCCGCCGTGTTATTGAGGCTAGCCAGCCTGCGTTCTATCCCTGTGCCCATGACGTTCGTAGATTCGCTGCTCTTGCTGCCGTCTTGGCAACATGTTCTGGCTAACATTTGAACACTGGGCTTTTGGCGGTCGTACAGGGGCCTGGGTGCTCAATATCTCGTGGGCGTTCCTGGGCCCATTCAGGCCTGTGTCGCCTAGGGTTGGCGGTTGCAGCCAGTTGTCTACACTTTGAGTTGGGGAGTGTGCGGCGACCGCCTCCTGAGTACGTTCCTCTTATTTCCTCTGTGCATAGTTAGCTCCGGGGAGCCGAAGGGGCTTCCCCCCAGAAATCCAACGTTGAATGTAATGAAACACCATTTTCTGGGCGAGATCCAGAGGCTCCCAGGCATCCCTCCCTCCCTCCGGTCGGCGGTTTTTCGTGTTTTTTGACATCCAGCCTCAGAACTGATGGTGGATAGCCGGCGCGATAGGTCTAGGGCTCCCCCTTCCCCCTCCTGGGGAGGGGGGAAACTGCGCAAACAGCGGCACGGCAACGTGTGACGTCATGATCGTTTGCTCGTTCCTTTTAGGGGGAGTTCTATCCACTTGTTCGGCTTGTGGTAGCAATTTTCACCAGAATAGGGGTTTGTTTTGGGATGCTTACCTTTCTGGGTGCCTGACCCGGTCGATGCCAGACATAGAATGCTTCCAACCACACAGGGGTTTCTATAGGCCATTGCTCCCCTTGCCTCTCTGAGGGGGCCAGGGTCTGGCTCTATGGGCTCGTGGTCCCCGGTAGGCCCATAGAACTCTATACACATGACTGATGCCAAAGTTTGACATTAGCATATTAGCCTGGATATGCTCCAGGGCACCAAAGGGGCTCCCCCCAGAAATGGGCCCCCTCTGGAAGCCATCTGTCATTCTTTGCCAGACAAGAAAAATGGGTGCAAATGAAAGAACTGCCCACCTGGGCTGAAAGAAAAGAACCCCACACCTCCAGAAAAGAGCCTGTAGCTCCCCAGTTGGCCAACTGGAAGAGACAGTCAACAGAAACAGTGCCCTAAGAAAGATATCACAGAATGAAGAGGCATCATGTACCAAGGAGTGGCAAGGAACACCACACTTCATTGAGAGACTAAGATGGCTCAGGAGAAACATGAGCAGGCCCGAGGAGAAAGAAAGCACAAGACAACTTATGAAGCAGCATCAAGGAAGTATCAACACCAAACACAAAGAGCGACTCTGCTAAAGCCAGGCGATAAAGAGGTGACAGTACTAGGAATGAGATGCCAATTAATGAACAACCAGGACAAAAAAAATATGACAGACACCCAAAGAGGCAAGAGGAATGTGAAATGTCAGGAAACTGCACACTGTTGCTATGATGAAAGATGCAGGTGGGACACCAACAAATCAGTTACCAGTGTACTAGACAAATAGCAGAAAACTTGTGTCAGAATTCCAGATGCCCCGAAAGGTAAATAAGATTGAACCAGAAAGTCACGTCACTGGGTCTATCTGCCAATAGAGGGGTACCTGCGGTAAAATGCCCAGGTTCAAACACCAGGCCAGAAGAGCCTGAAACCAAGGCAGAGCCAATCCCAAAGGAGAAAGAAGGAGCACCTTGCCCTAGTATGTCTCCAACTTGGACAACCCTAGAATTAACAATTGAACGAGGGAGGAAGACACAAACAAATCCCCAACCCAACAAGTGCAGCCAAATGGCATCTACTGTGAGAGCCATGTGAATTAGGAATAGAACCATGCAGGAGGGGAGTTGCTGGTCCCATACCAAGCAAAGAAGTCTACCTCTGTGGTCGAAAGTCTCACAAGACCAACAGCAGGACTTACCAGCAACAATTTGTACTGCAGAAACAGAACAAGCAAGAGAAACTTCCATCAGAGCCCCAAACACACCCTGCACGTGAACCATTTGGAGAACCAAACTTTGATATGCTAGACACCCCCTCCCCCTAAAAAAAAAGAAAATACTCCACCCCCTCCACCCTCAAGATGGGAGGTAGAGGGGTGGCATTTGAAACACCCAAACAGTGTTTGGCTGTTTCAGTGCTTTTTATTTTATGAACCTTGCAGTTATCTGTACTGGTTTGCTGACTTTATGGATTCTTTCCTGGTGTGGGTGATCATAACAATCCTCACTTCCTTGGGCCCCAATGAAGGGGGTGCTAGGTTCTGGCTCTAGTCGCTGGTATTCCAAACACAACTCCTATGACTGATGTGACCCCGCAGTGGGATACCATCTCAGCGAGATACCTTTGGGAAGCCACCAACAGCAGGACTTACCAGCAACAATTCAGCAACAACCAGCAACCCCTTGGGGAACCAAGGGGGTTCCCCTTTTAAACTCAAACATGAATTTATTCAGATTTTTCGGAGATTCAGTTTACCGGAACCTGAATTACCATGTTCTTACATTATAGTGCAAGAATGTTATAAAAGTGATACCAAATAGCCATTGTCCTTTAATACATTACTCATGTTCTAGAATCTAAAGTATTGTGTACAAACAATACCAGTACACTCCAGTAGCTACCTACAAAAGCACTCCACCACTTCATAAGACATGATTTACAGTGCTCATGAATTGTTAAAGTACAATTACATTTACTCCATCTTTACAAAAACCTTCCACCAGGCATATACATATCCCTTGTTATATACCAGGCATTGTTCACACTCACAATCCTCAGTTCCTCAAACAATGCAGAATGTTAATTATTGTCAAAAATGCAATTTTGTTGAACAAGATGATTAACAATCAGTAAGCATACCTTCCATGATTCAAGGGTGAGCTCAGGCATACTGACAGCCCTTGTAAGAGCAGTAATGAAAGTAGGCAGTGCAGAAGACGGAAGGTAGCTGTATGCAAGCACAGCATCAAGGACACGTAGACACAAAAATGCCTCGGATTCACTGCCAGCTTTGTGAAGCTGAAGAACAACTTGCCTGGAACATACATAAGGAAGTTTCAGTAATTTACTCTATTTCAATGATTTACATTTTTATTACCAGATATCACAACCCTTTTAGACCGAGAAAATGAACTTTAAAACAGATTTATTCTAACTGATAAATGAGTGAGATGGAACACATTGCCTTAAATTTACATGATGGAAAAAGCTATTCAGTGTAATATTCAAGGAAAATGCAAAGCTTATATGAATACAATAATTGTAAAGCTTATATGAATACAATAATTGCAAAGCTTATATGAATGCAATAATTGCAAAGCTTATATGAATACAGTATTTGTAAAGTAGATAATGTTTAGATCACAGCTAATTAAGAAAGTTATACTCTGTCCTTATGCTAGGCATCTCTCATAACAAATACAGTATTGGGAAACTTCTTAAGTCTCTACCCCTTTTTACAACACTTCCATTTCAGCCCCATAATTTCATCAGATTTATGAGATAAAACAAATTTTTATTTTCCTATCTTTTTATATTATATTAAGAAAATTGCCTCCCTCCTCCTCTCACTCGCTCTAGTGATATCATTATGCAAAAGTCCCTGTGAAAAATTCAAAAGTTAAATGTAACTAGGTGTCCTTTTCTGCTGAGATCTTCAATAGCTCCCTGAGCTATGTGCTGGTTAAGCTATGCCTTAGGGAGATATACCCGGCCTGACAATGCTGATATCAAAAACAAAATACTGAAACCTGTCTACACTGTTTACTATTACAGTAGTGCATGTGCCAAACTTACGTGACATAGCCAGTCACAACAGGTTCATCCAAGTAGGCAGAATTGAACTTGACTAGTGTAATGACGAGATTGAGAGCATCAGCAGCTTGTGGTGATGCTAAAAGTCCTGGAAGCCACTCTAGCAGAAACGGGCCAACATACTCATCAATGTATTCTAGCTGCTTTCCCTCGGCTATCACCTCACGAAAGAAGTCAAAGCTGTAGATAAAACAAAATACATGCTGCATAAGAGTAAATGTCATATATATTTTATGCTCTATTACTTAAAAGCACACATCATTCTAGCTATAACTAATTCGCTAATAGTTATAGCGAATCGCTATCTTCTTCCATATTAGGAGAGGAGTGGTAATGGAAATATTTTTCTTGCAATTAAATCATCACACACATCAAAACGCAGCAACAAAAAAGTTCTTATAGTGATGCATTTGCATGCAAAAAGTAAGAAAACAGTAAAACAAAATTCGGTTCTTTTCTGGTTATGGCATACATAGTAGCTGGATACACAGTTTGCCAACTCGTGGATTAGGAATGAAAGGGCTCGAATTATCAAGTGGGACGATATTATGTTCATGATTTCACTTGTTTACATAATGCATTTATTGTATTTAATAACTTGATTAATGCACATATCTTTGACAAAAAAGTGACTGAGTACTGTACATAGGTCTACAATGTAATATGTTTATCTCTATAGCACACAAACCTGTTCCTGGCACCTGTCCCTACTAAAAAGTAACACAACCTGGAGTCTGCCCGAACTCACAAGGAATTTAGAGGCAGCGAATGTGCGGGTAACATGCAAAAATTGCATTGAGTATCAGCACAGTGCTACCAAATTCCTTAAGAATTTAGGCAGACTCCAGGTTATGTTACTTACCTTTCATGGGTAAGGCACGCATCTGGAGGTGACCCATGATGCTGGTTTGATCCTGCTGTCCTACTCCAAAGATTTCACATACACTATATTGTATACACTACAAGGGGTACCCAATGTTTCTCAGGCGACGGAGGCCACAACTTCACTATACACTATCTTCCTCAGAATAACCATCTTCTACTACACAACCATCATCACTATAATAATTCATTGTGTCGGGGGATAGGCAGCCAGATATATATGCATGCTAGACTCATATCAAGGTCCTCCCTTTCCCCAAAGGTCGAATTACTGATCTCCCCAGGATGAAACCCCACAAGATGCTGACTAACTCTTAGGTACTATTTACTACAGCCCATCCTCCTGTATTGGTAGTATTGTACTTATAAGAAGGATGAGGACTGTAGTACCTATACTGACGTACAACACAATTAGAAAATAAAAATCGGTAATATTGAATATAGACAAACCAGAAAATGATTTACTAATGTTGCAAATTACTTGTGTAAAGGAGGAAATGTATATGTTTATCTCTCAGAATGTTTGGTAATATGTTTATTGTTTGTGATGTGTGTCTATGTATGTATTAACACTATGTACTGAACGGGGTGAGAATAGCTTGAGCTACCTCATCCCTTTGTGTGTATTTTACCTCAAACTTATTTCAATTTAAATTTCAAAGTTGCAAAGACAAATTAAACTAACTTGACCTAACTTTCTTAGCCCCAATACATGCAGTAATTAGGAAGACATACATAGGTTTAGTATCTTCACGCTGGTAATTGTCTGAAATGTAATTAAAGAAGACATGTCGCATTGGTCCTAAACGATCATGCCCAGCTGTGAGGGTGGTGAGCATTTGTAGTGTCGTGTGGCGATGCTCAGCTGGACAGGTCAGGGACAGTAAGTCTTGAATAAGGAACCATAGCTTCTCTATCCCATACTGTGGAAGGAAATACAAATAGCAACTTAGAAATATATTTATAAATTAGAAATATATTTTTAAATCTTTAGAACAATCAATGCAAAAAGAAATAAAAGGTTTGCAAGAGCACTAGGACATACAGTACTAGTAAATCATTTGGGAATGATTGATTTGATTCCTGATCTTTATACAGTATGTATCTATTTTAATTTAATTTAACTCATTTACTGTAATTCATTGTATCAGGGGATAGGCAGCAAGAGTGTATTTATACATGTTAGGATTATATCAAGGTCACCCACAAGGTTGAATTACTGACCACACCCCCTCAGGATGCAACCCCACAACAAAGTGACTAACTCCTGGGGTACCTACTTACTGCTAGGTGAACAGGATCGTTAGGCGATAGGAAATGTGCCCATCCATTACTGTCCCGCCCAGGAATTCGAACCCAAAATTGTCAATTGTGAGTCAAGAACAAACCCGACTGTACTACCAGGACCCTTAACTAATTTTACCAACTACACTAACTTCTTCATTTTCATTTATATAAAATGAATGCTAAATAACATTAAAAACAAAAACTTCCTTAGTACACAAACGCTTCATAATTAATCATTTTGCATACTATATTAAATAATACAATTCTATTCACTATTCAACTAATATATAATACAAGACATATCTACTGCACATAACCTAACCTTATTCATACAATATCAAACCTTTGCAAAACATCCATACATATTGTATTAGTATTTCATTCACATGCAGCACAGTATTTAAATAACTTTCTTATTTCCCATTTTTTCATGTATCCTAATAAAGGCACACCTTTTTTCTCCTTTCAGATTAAACAGTTTATTCATCTTTTCTACTACAGATTATTACCTTTAGTCACTGTCTGTGGTAAACTTAAGGCTTGACACTTACTCAAAGTAAGTTTGCATATGCCAACACCAGCCAGGAAGCAGTTGCCAACTGTGACAACAGAAATCAATATCAGTACCACAATATGCTTCCTTACATATTCATGGTTCACTATCCATTCTCCTCAATAGGTGATAAAAATTAATAAGACTGTTTAGTGAAAACACATATGAGCTTGAATTTTAAATAAGCTGTGGTTTAATCCTCCCTTGCTCAATTTGCCAGGCACAACTACAGTCTAAACACACTGTGAACAGTCTATGCAGCACATTCTTCTATGCCTCCTAAAAATAAAAATACAGTAATCTAGAGTCCCAAGGAAAATTACATTATCTGTTATCAAATATTAAATCAATGAACAAGAGTTTGGAAAAATTGCAGAAATGTTAAAATATTAGATATTTAACTTTTGAAGGCTTATGAAACCAGATTCTGAGAAACTGGAATAATAAAGGACACAGAGAATCTAAACTCTCCTGATGCTCTGTTCAACTAGCAGTAAATTGGTATCCAAAAGGTTCGCAACTGTTGCATCCTGGGAAAGGGTATTGCCAAATACACAAAATGGTTTGTCAAGACTCATTTTTCCAATTGTCAAAACCATATGTACTGTATATATTGTTAGATTAGGATGCGTAAGCTTATGTTAGTTAGGCTGTGTTAGGTTCGATTGCCTTAGGTTAGGTTGGGTAAGATTAGGCACATTTTAAAATCCATTGAGGAACCATCTTGTGTACAATGTGACTTGTATTCCAGGAAATGGGCAGTAGTTGGCCTATGGGCTCCTCAATAAGCCCAACAGACTTCCCATCCCTGGCTGTAGGAAACCATAAAGTGGACCATATTACACGGCCTTGAAAGTGTGATCAAACATCACTTTTATGGACATGAAACTGAACAATTTTAGGCAGGCATAATACAATGGATGCTTAAACATGAATTTAAGTTAAATTATGGAAGGTACAAACCATTTTCTGAAATTAAAGACAATAGACTTATTATAATACTGTACATGTACAGTAGTAAGCTTAGGCCAACATGAAGTTGATACCCAATACCATTTGTCATTATCCTATGTCCCTTTCAATTCTGTTACAAAACAAAACAAAATTTGAAAAATGACAAAGAAAGTCTACATTACCATAAAGTTATCACATGCACAAAAACTTTTTAACAGGAATAAATTATTCTTGGTGTTGTACTCACTTCTTCCAATTTCCTTGAAATCAGCACTTCATTAAGTTCTCTGATGGCTTTGAGACGTACAGCAACAGGAGATTCATTACCGAGTTCAGTTTTTAACTCCTCCGTTAGCCTTATGTACCGGCAGCCAGGAAAATTTCCTCGCTCAATTTTAAACCATCGTTTCAGTCTTTCAGGAAAACTCTTTTCTGGTTTATTATCTTTACTCATTGTGAAACATTTCCCTGAAATTTAAAATAAAAACTATATGTTTTGAATACTATACAATCAATCATATTCTGTAGTCACCTAGTTGTGCAGTTGGTTGTGCATACAGCCACTAGCACGCATAGCATTTCGGGCAAGTCCTTAATACTATGTTCTCCGGAAGACGACCCGTCAAATCATTTAATAACAAGGTACCCATATTACTGTTGGGATACAGAGGCTACAGTTAAGGATTGACACCCAGTAAATCCTCCCCAGAAAGGATATGAACCCAGGACAAAGCGCTCCCAAAATGCCAGGTGAGTGTCTTACCACTTCACCACGTGGACTAAACTTGTCATGTTCATGTCCATGGACAATCTAATATATATTATATATGATTTGGCTATACAAAAAAAATGGTGTAGTACTTTATGCTTATAATATAAATGATTAAAGGTGTCACCAAGAATTGAAGAAAGGCATCCTGCAGTATTAATGTGCTAAGCTGGGATTTGCATACCCCAGTGGCTACAATTCTGGCTATTAATCAGTGTGCATACTATAGTCTTGGCACTTAATTAAAGGGCCAAATATAATTTTGTTATCTATGATAATAACTTTGCCTGAACAATTTGTTTGGTCCTGGTGAGACATTTTCTTCACTTACAGGCCTCTTCTTCCTCTCTGGTTAAGAATGAGATGCTAGTTTCAGGCTGGGTCCTTGGTGATTGATGCTTGGTTGGTTAGGCTAGAGTGCATCATTGTCAATTTCTTTCAAATTACAGTACAGTACTATATTTTCTTAATCATAACATAAGAGTCTTGGTAGTACCATTAGGTTCATTCTCAACTCACAATCAGGAATCCAGAATTCAAATCCTGGGTGGGCAGAAATGGTTGGGCACATTTTCTATCACCTAATGCCTCTGTTCAGTTAGCAATAAATAGGTACCTGAGAGTTTGTCAGCTTGTTGTGGGGGTTTCATCCTGGGAAGGGTCAATAGTTCGACCTTGGGAAGACCTTGATATAAGCCTAATGCATAATATACAAAGGTTGCCTATCCCCCGACAAAATAAATTGATAAATCATGAATTATTAAATCATGTGTTATTGTAACACTGATGATATATGTTAATGTATTATTAATCATATTGGTATACATTACAGTACTATACTTTCATTACTGTATTTATATTTGGTAATTAAATCTTCACTGATGCCCTCTTTTCTGAGTGTTACTTCTACAGCTTTTCTCCACCCCTTAGTGGATGCCTTTTATGTTTTTTCTCCATGGTGACATAGCACCACGGTAACATCACAGGAGCCCTCCCAGAAAACCAATTTTAAATGTAATGAAATGCCTTTTTTTTGGTGGTGCCTTGGTGGCTCCTTGGGACTCTTTCTTCCCCATTCAGGACCTTCAGTTTGTAGCTTTCCTGGTTATATGACTGACGGTTTAAGAGTGGTGGTTTGAGGATGAAGATGCAGTTCTCAGGTGGTATCCAGGTAGAATTAATGTGAGAATTGCTTTACTACCAAATAGTTCCTCAATCTCAGGGCTTCACTGTCCGTACTCTATGTTTTGTTTACCCTACTGTCATCTGTTTTGATTAACCAGCTTTCTGGTGGTCTTTTCTTGGTTAGATTATTTGGTCCTAGATCCTAGAGTACTAGGATCTTCTGCTCCTTGTGCCTCTTCTGAGGGGGCCATGTTCTGGCCCCTGGTGCCTGATAGGTTTACATATGAATCCCAAGGATCTGGCATGGATTGAACTGAGTGGAGTTTACCAGGCAGCAAAGGTACCACTATAGGGGCTCGCCCTGAAAACCCTGAAAATATCACTGTTTTTGGTCTGCAATGGTATAGACATGAGGAGTAATAAGATACAAATGTGTTAAACACATTCATAGCACTATGTTGGGAATGTGTAAAATATTACTCCTTTGTCCAAATACTGATGCTCAAGTGTCTGATCACTTAGCACACTCCAGAACCTCTGACATCTCTAGTGTTTTGTTGATATATTCATGAGTTTTTAATGTACAGCATTCACTCTTGTCATTTTACAGAACAATGTCTCCTTATTCAATTAATATCATAACCTTGACTATAACAAAATTATATTACTACTTTTTTTTATCAAATGAAAATATAAATAACTTTTTTTGTGTCCAAAGACCATTGACTTTACCCTATTTAGTTCCTACTTAGCTTACCTCACCTGCCTCCTGTACTTCCTACCTAGTGCCCTTACCTAACCTACCTAACCTAATTACCTAACCCTACCTAAACTAATTAGGTGGGGCTTGAGAATTGTTTTTCATTTTTTTAACAAATATTGAAGATTCAGTGCATTCTAACTACTAGTGGCCTAGCCATTTCTTATATACAGTGTGTATATGTATGTATGTGTGTATATATATGTATGTGTGTATATATATATATGTATGTGTATATATATATATGTATGTGTGTATATATATATATGTAAGTGTGTATATATATATTATATATATATTATACTTATTTTATTTTTATTTATATATATACAAGAAGGTACATTGGGTTTGTGAGAATACATTGGATAGTACAGTATATACATTCTTGTAAAGCCACTAGTACGCACAGCGTTTCGGGCAGGCACCCGATTATACTTAATTATTAATTTACATTTATATTGGATTCTAAACCTATTCTAACCTGTGGGCCGCTCCAAGCAACAGCCTGTTGGACCAAGCTCTCACAGGACACTTGGGGAAAACAACAACTCCCAGAACCCTATCAACCAGGTAACCTACGTAAACTTAAACTAACAAAGAGTGCATCACCTTCAAAATTAAAATGAAGAAATGTGTGTGTCCCAGGCAAGATAATGACACTAGTAACCTGCCTGTCAGTAAGAGTTCATACCCTACCTCAAGTTGTGGCATATACAGTACATACTCTAAAAGTCAATTTACTATCAAGTGAATATATCTTGCCCATGATCTGGCTATACATACCAGATTAAAAAAAAATATCAAAAGTATATTTATTTTGACAAAATTATTTTTGTCATTTGAGTACTGTACTACTAAAATTATATCTATGTTGTATGAGCTGTACATCTGGAGTACAGTAATTTTTATCCAGGATAGCCCCAGAATCTGCTATGGTAGAATGCTGAGAGCATGAGAAATTTATATAACTTCATGGAATGATTAGTGTATATTACTTTTGAATTGTCTTTATCATCCTAATTTTACCCGAGTTTACCTGAAAACCACCATTTCCCTAGTGGCCTCAACAGGAACAGAAAGCAGGCAGCTTCTTAAACATCCCCCACTGTTCCTGAAGATTTTGTCTAAGAGGACAGGTGTTGAGTCAACACCTGTCTCAGCACTAATGGTAAACTGCACTTTGTTGTTCCATTACTTTATAACTGCACTTTGTTTTTCCATTACTTTATAACTGCACTCTGTTTTTCCATTACTGTATAACTGCACTCTGTTTTTCCATTACTTTATAACTGCACTCTGTTTTTCCATTACTGTATATATCACCTTTTAACTTATAAGTTAAATGTTATTTTATACCAAAGATGTAATTTTGATTTAGGATGCTGTGCACCTGTTTGGTCCATCAATTACTGTAATGATTTGAATATGATACTACTGTAATTCTCATCACCCTAATTGTAACCTATAGGTGTTTCTATGATTGTAAACATCTGTTTACTCCAGCTATAACTATAATGATTGTTTATAAATCACTGACAAATATATAGCTTCTAAATCTTGATCAAAATGTTGATTTCACAGTATATAATTAATGCAAGTGCTGTGCTATTACAACTTAAGGGAAATAATGCACAGCACAGTACTGTATTTTCTGTAAACTAACTCGATTATAAATGTTCAAACAGATAGGAATAAAGTTTTTAAATTTTAATTTGATGACAAAGACATAAATTTTCACAAAATTTTGCCTAATGAATAAATAATAATGCACATTCTTACCTTCAATTCCAGCTCAACACTTGTCATTGCATGTCATCTTAGCCAGTAAAATCAAAATATAAAGATAATACAGTACTGTATTGCAACAATCAGTACCCTTTTGCTTGGAATATGAGCAATTATGATACATTTTTCAGGTCTCATTGAACCTCTTTTTACCAAAAAGTAACAAAATACAAAGTGTTTACCATATAAACAAGTGAGCACAATCACCCTTTCTATAACAAGTAGCAAGTAAACTCGAGCGCCATCATCCGGAGTAAACCTGCCAAGTAAACCTAGATGTTGTATGATTAAATACCGCCTCGGTAACAAGCTCTGGCAGGCCCCGTCCGCACAACCTTGACACCTCCAGACCCAAACAACTTCACATTCCCTGCCTCTAAGAGCCATTAACACTCATCCCGCAGGCCAGAGCCCATGCACGAAACAATGGACGGGTAATGATCATGCAGGAGCGACCATCCCGCTAGATCAGCACTCAAAGTAACCGAGATAAAGGTGAATTACGTCTCCCGGAGATGGGGACGACGAGCCGCTGAGGTAGGAGGGAGCCTGGTACACTGTGTGTGTGTGTGTGTGTGTGTGTGTGTGTCCGGAGGCCCCGGACCCTCCTCCCACTCTTGAATAAGTGAACCCATTCACCTCCCTTTTTTCACTTTAGGTTTGAGGGAAAAGTGGGTATCATAGGGTTGTCAAAAGCTCAGATAGGGGGACGGGGGAAAAAGATGAGGTTGTGTATAGGGGGTAAATTAAATGATACGTGGCCCAGCTACATTTGTTAGTTGTTAGTTGATTTCTGGGCGACGGCGAAACTAGACGTACGAACGGTGACGAACCTTGTCTATCCGGTTTCCGATCTCCCGGTTAGACTTATATATATTTTTTGTGGGGTTGGTGGATAGGTTACAGCTAAATGAATTGTGGGGTTCAGTCCCTGAGCCCATTATGTGCCTCTGTAACCCTTTCCACTACCGCCCACAAGATGGGTATGGGGTGCATAATAAATGAACTAAACTAAAAAAAAACTTGTGGGGTTGGGAATTAAGGCCATATCTTCATCAAATCGTTGCGACTACATTTACAGAATCGTGATAATATTGCTGAAACTATTTTTAAAGTACAAGCAATGGGAAATAGCAAGTACGCTTACGTTTCCGGTCTGTGCGGTAATACAATTGGGTTCTTTCTAGATTAGTACTCAGGAATTCCGGGTTCAAATCCCGGGCGAGAGAGAAATAGTTGGGAATGTTTCCCATCACCTAATTCCTTTGTTTACCTAGCAGTAAATACATTTACCTTTTACCTAACAGTAAATAGGTACACAGGAGTTAGTCTGCGTGTTGTGGGATTGCAGCCTGGGAAGGGTCAATTAGTTTAGTTCATGTATTATGCACCCCATACCCACCCTGTGGAGGGTAGTAAAAAGGGTTACAGAAACACATAATGGGCTCAGGAAATGAACCCCACAATTCATTTAGCAAAGCAAGTTACAATCTTAATGAGCTAGTTACAAAATTCAACAGTATACTCTGTTGTCTGTCTGTGTATACTCTCTATGCAAAGAAAGGGACCTAATCTATGGAACTCACTCCATAACGAATTAAAAAGCTGTCCAACCTACGCCTTATTCAAAAGTAAAACCAAAAAGTACCTAATTCCATCCTCATAGTTTCCTACCTAGTGCTTCAAACTCGCACTGTATCTTGTGCTCTCCACTCCCCCAAAATATGTGCCTAAGCCATACAACTTCACCGTTGTAATCACTGCCATCATCTTATATCTTGGTTATGTTGAACGCAAATTTTGCTGCAATATACCTAGAAACAATCCTCAAATTATGCCGCAATGTACCTGTTGATAATCCTCAAATTATGCCTCAATATACCTGTTGATAATCCTCAAATTTTACTGTAATGTACCTACTAATTTTCTTCAAATTTTCTTACAATGTACCTGTTAACATTTTTAATTTAGCTACAAATTATCTACTTAAAATTATCTGTTAGATTAACGACCTGCCCGAAACGCTGAACGTGTTAGTGGGTTTACACGACTGTAAAAACATCAATAATAATAATAATAATTTTTATTTAGGTAAGGTACATACATAAAGAGATTTTACAAAGTTTGTTGGCTTTATAGATAGAGCTAGTACATACAATGCCTAAAGCCACTATTACGCAAAGCGTTTCGGGCAGGAAAAACATAAATGACTAAAGCTTAAAACTAATGTGTAAAAAGAATAAAATGTGTCGAGAACAAATAAAAATAGAGGTAAAAGAGGGGGGAACATTGTTGAAAAAGCAGCACAAATACAATTACAAATTATTACAGAAAATTACATTCAAACAGCGTGGATTTGAAAAACAAAAAAAAACAAAAACATACATGGGTTGACAACAGAGGGGTAAGGTAGGTTACAGGGAATTTATTAGGTATAGCTTCGTTTTTAACTTAAACTGGTTGAGAGAGGTACAGTCTTTAACATGGTTGGGAAGGTCATTCCACATTCTGGGCCCCTTGATTTGTAGAGCATTTCTGGTTTGATTAAGTCGTACTCTAGGAATATCAAAACTGTATTTATTTCTGGTGTGGTGCTCATGGGTTCTGCTACAACCTTCTATGAAGCTTTTGAGATCAGGATTGGCATTATAGTTTAGCGTTTTATATATGTATAATACACATGAGAGAATGTGCAGTGACTTAATGTCTAACATATTCAGAGATTTGAGTAGGGGTACCGAGTGATGTCTGGGGCCAGAATTGGATATTGTCCTAATAGCAGCTTTGTGTTGAGTAATTAGAGGACGTAAGTGATTTTGGGTAGTAGAGCCCCAAGCACAAATACCATAGTTAAGATATGGATAGATAAGGGAGTAATAGAGAGTCACCAGGGCAGGGCGTGGTACATAATATCTGATCTTAGAAAGAATGCCCACAGTTTTTGAAACTTTTTTTGATATGTTTAGAATGTGTCCCTGGAAATTCAGCTTGTGGTCAATCAGAATGCCAAGGAATTTGCCATCTAATTTGTTACAAATTTGGGTATTGTTTATTTTGAGATTTATTTGATTAGAGGATTTATTGCCAAACAGAATATAGAAAGTTTTGTCAATGTTAAGGGTGAGTTTGTTGGCAGTTAGCCAAAGATGGACTTTATTTAGCAATGCTATGTACTCTTATAAACCCAATGTATCTTTTTGTATATGTATAAATAAAATAAATAAATAAGTTCGGGGTATGGTCGTTTCGGACACGAGACGATTCGATGAAGCTGGTTTTCTCAATAAGATCAACCCTGTCATATCTGGTTTGCAGTGTTGTTAGCCTTGTGGCCTTCAACCGTTCCTGGTATGAGACTCGACTTAGTTCTGAAAGGATTTTTGTCGCCCGGTGTTGAACTTTCGCCAAAGCAGATATATATCTTTCTGAAGATGAGGTCTCCATGTTTGCATACAATAATCCAAGTGGAGGTGCACATGAGATTTATACAGTTGTATAATTATAACTACCTTCTTTTCACAGTTAAAGTTTCGTCTGACTATTCTTAGGATTTGGTTACATTTTTTAACTGCAGCTCCCACTAATTGTTGGGCAACTTTCAGTGATTGATGGGTTCTGCCTCCAAGGTTCTTTTCTTCTCATTTACGTCCTCTAATTACTCAACACAAATATGCTATTATAACAATAACAAACTCTGGCCCCAGACAGCACTCGGTACCCTTACTTAAATCTTTGAATATGTTAGATATTAAGTCACTGCACATCCTCGCAAGTGTACTCTCTATATATAAAACTCTGAACTGTGATGCCAATCCTGACCTTAAACGCTTCCTAGAAGGTTGTAACAGAACCCATGGGCACCACACCAGAAACAAATACCTATTTGATATTCCAAGAGTACGCCTTAACCAAACTAGAATTGCTCTGCAAATCAAGGTACCCAGAATGTGGAATGACCTTCGCAATTATGTCAAAGGCTGTACCTCTCTCAACCAGTTTAAGAGAAAAACTAAGTACTACCTTATAAACTCCATGTAATCTACCTTACCCCCTAAACGTCAACCCATGTCTTGCTATTTTTAAACCTTATTGATTATTGATCAGCTTGTTTAACTGCTGATATCCGCCATGTATAAACTTAAACAAATTATTCTCTTTATTGAGTTAAAACTACTTCTGCTGTTCTGTTGCAATTTCTGTTGTTCCATCCATCATGTAATTATTATCATTTTCCCCCCTTTTCAATTCAATTAATGCTTTAGATCTCAATCAGTTTTAATTGTTTTGCCCACACCTTGCCCGAAACGCTGTGCATATTTGTGGCTTTAGGCATAGTACATGCTAAGCTCTATCTGAAATCCAACATTATGTTTGTAACTCATTTTGAATTTATGAACAATTATCTAAATAAACATTATCTTATCTCTATCAATCTACTGCAAGGTAAGGTTATTAATTTGGTAGTTGTGGTGCACATTGTTATGCCCCACATGCAAGTTCTTGTGTCTTCCAATATTAAATAACATTTATGCCTGTCTTCCGACCACTTGTGGAGTTCATCGGTATAAAACACTTGGAGTTTTTAGGGTATAAAAATTCGTATTTTAAAACTCCAAATACGTGCAATCACCCTAAATTCCGCTCACAAATAACGCTCGAGTCATATTTCCCGATAGGCATCGTTAGATTAGGTCAGATTCAGATTCAGATTCAGATGTTTATTCAGGTAAGGTATATACATACAAGTGATGTTACATTAATGGATTGATATATAGATAGAGCTAGTACATACAATGCCTAAAGCCACTATTACGCAATGCGTTTCGGGCAAGAAAACATTAATATCTAGAACTTAATACTAATTGAGCATAAAGAATAAAAGATGTTGAGAACAAATACAAATAAAGATAAAAAAAAGGGGGAACATGACTGAAAAAGCAGCACAAATACAATAGGTTGACAAACAGTGTTGATTAAAAAAAAAAAAAAAGAAAATAACAGACATGGGTTGACAATAGAGGAGTGAGGTAGATTACAGGGAATTTATTAGGTCAGGTCAAGTCTGGTTAATAATTTAATATAATAACGTTACGGCGACGATTAGGTGTTATAAGCTTACCATATAGACGTAGGAAGTCAATTTATTAAAAAGGGATGTTTCGTGGGTATAGGGTTTGGGTATAGTTTTTGGGTATGTTTTATTCCTACTGCTAATAAATATGTGGTGTGCTATGGAAAGGTTAATATAGATTTGTTATTGTTATGCTCTAGTTTGGGTTTAGTGGATGACTGGATTTGGTAATTGAATAGTATTTAATGCGACGTGGTAAGTGTCGAAATAAACTATAAATAAATGTGTTTACTATGATCGAGATAAGGTACTTTTCAAAAGTAAAATAGTTAAACATTGATTAAATCCGTTTTCTCTTATGGAATCATTCCTTCGTGGGATGTGATTGGGGGACTTGGGTACCTCGGTG